TATGATGGAGAGAGGTTTTGCAAACTCTTCTGCTTACATAGCTAAGCGAGTGGATTTCTTGTTCTTGCTTTGTGTAGCCTTAGTTTAAAAAAAAAACGATTGTGGTTACAGAGTTTTTGTGAAGACAGTAGTTCTACTTATTTAAAATTACTTCTTTTATTTAGTACTGGAATAGTGGAGAAGGCACTACTTTGGTGTTCCAGATCTTGGTTTTATGTTATGTTCTAGGGTAGTAATATCTTCTGGGTTATTTTAACAGTAAAACTGACCTTTGTATACTTTGCTTATTATGAACTTCTACTAAAAAAAAAGCAAGTCTTTATTTTTATGAAGGTGTCACAAGGTTTTTCTGACAAAAGTTAGGTAGTTTTATTTTCTTTATGCTGGGACAGTTCTTTCATCCCTGACAGAGAGAGGAGCTGGGCAGAGTTTCCTGTTACATGGCCCACAACAGCATCCAGTCAAAATGTGATTTGTTTGCTTTCCCTCTGCTTAGGCACTGGATGTACTTGTATCAGCGATGCTTGCAGTGGTATTCCTGTGTTCAGCCAACCCAGCTATCGTGATCAGTTTTCATGGTGATGGAAGAAAAAAGGTCAAAATCCCCAAGCAGTTGTTACCAGGGTAGCGTGGTTCTAACAACTTTTGCATTTATGGAATGCTGTGGTGAAAGGAAACGGCATGTTTCACTAGAGTGACTCACCTAGATCTGTCCTAGCATAAAAGTCACCAGGCTCAGTCAGGTGACTTACTGAATAGGCCATGAAGTCAGTTCTTCCCCTTTCTCATGAAACAACTTTAAAGCACTCGCCGCAGCGCGTTAACTTGACAGGTGACTATGCATTTATTCATGGAATTTAGGGACTGTAGAGACAATCCTGCAACAAACCAGTTCCATTTTTCAGGTCTACCCCCAAGCTCAATCTGTTTACCCTTCACCCTCCTTTGCTCCCTCATTGTTCCCCCTGCCCACCCAACCCAATTAAACTATAACTTAATTCTGTAAAGAACCCAACCTAGTCTAGCTGAGCCAGGCAATTGGATTTGGCTTACTCAAACTTTTCTTTTAGATGTGAGCAGTCGCTTTATTTTAGTTGGAGGAAAGGCTTCTGAATATTTCCATCTCTCTACAAATAAAAAATGATCTAAGCTTGCAGAATAAATAAGTTGCAGATTTTGTGGTGTTGTAGAAGACCAGTGACATAGAAGAGAAGCTGGTGTTACTGGACGTGTCTTTATCTGTTGCTGCACCATTTACTCCCTGTTTGCGCCCCATCCCTGGATGTGTTCAGGGCCAGGCTGGACGAGGCTTTGAGCAACCTGGTCTAGTGGAAGGCGTCCCTGCCCATGGCAGGGGGGTTGGAACTGGATGGTCTTTAAGGTCCCTTCCAACCCAAACCATTCTATGATTCTATGATTGATGGGTTGGTCTGTGGCAAGCTCTTTATTTCATTGCCCGCACAGATGCATCCCACTTGTCCTAAAGCTTCTTGTAGGAACACGTGCAATTGCTCATGTTGGTCCTAGTAGCTGTTCTCTAGTTTAGCTGCTCTCCTGACTATCTGCACTGCACATGCTCTTCATGGTCAGTAAAATATCCTCTTGCACTTTCAGTGTTGGATTTCATTCAAAGACATGCAGTGGCACAAAATAATGGCTGGATGGAACAGCCTAAGAATTCTTAGCTGTCTACAGCTGTCTACTTCAAAAGCAGGCAACAAAGACGTTTTGGTATTCCTCTTGGTTCCAGCAGGTGGAACTAGATGGCTGCTTGGAATACGTCTAATGTATTTCATCATTTACTAAGGGGTGGAGGGGAAAGCTACCAGACAGAAGGCTTCAGAGTCGTTAGAGTTCACTTCATGATATGTCAGCATTCCTAGGATAGTCTTAGCATGTAATCTAGAATCCTACAGATTAATTTAATATGCAAAAATAGGTTTTGTATACAACCATTGTGGCTTTAACAAAATTGCTAAGGCAGCGCTAACGTTGAGCTTTCCTTCACAGATGCAGTCTGAGAGGTGTTAGTGCTAGATGGATGTTTGAGTCATGTTTTCAGGGCCTATTGTTTTCTGGTTTGTGTGTGGGTTTTGGTTTTTGTTTTTTTTTTTAATAATACTTCTCTGGCTCTTAAGGTAAATAGCTTCTAGTAAAAAAAAAAGGACAGAAGGACGCTGAGTGCCTCTGTGAGGCAGAAGTCAATGGAGACAGAAAGTAAGTCAGCTTCAGGGGGGGAGCTCAATATGAGATTGGGGTTGGTTTTTTTTTTTCTTTTGGAAGCGTTGGGAATGCTTAGGAACGGGAGAAGTTAGGATTTTATCTAAAATATATCCTTCTTGAAGAAAAGGGGCTTAATTTCTCAGTAGTAACATTGCAGTTTACTCTGTTCAGTTATGATACCAAAAGTTTTCTTATAAATACGTAAAATGATCAATTCTTATTTCCTTCATTGCACTTAAATGGCAAAAAACAGTAAACAATCAGTCTCAAAACAAGGTGTGATGGACTTAAGTTTGTTATGTTTTTATAACTGGATTTTTACCTGTATAGAGGTTTAGGTATACTTTGAATTGGTGTTCCTCCTCGGTGTTGGTTTCTTAGCTAGACACGAGCATTGTCTGCTATATCCCTTTCCCCTGGATTGAAGTAGATCTTCACCATTCAGAAGTTACAGGTTCTTAAATATTGGGGAAAAGTTGCAGTTTTTAACAAAACACTGTACTCTGTGGATCTTGCTTGTACAATCAGAGTGTTGCCCTTCAGTCTCATCCAGCTGGTGTTATGACATATTTCCCATAGGATCGGTGTGGATATATTTAATGTTCATAGCTTACAGTGTTTGCTGTTTGATTTTTAATAAAGTTATGTTTGTATGTAAGATGAAACTCCGCCTTTAACAAAAAATAAGTGTCGTTGCTGCAGAAATTGCCCACTTGATTGACTTTTCCCTTTGCGTTGTTGTCTTACGCTGTGGTTCACCACAGTTGCTGTGAAGTCTGTTGTAAAGTAATACCTGGCTTGTTGCAGCTCAGAACTACTAGGGAGCGTGAAGACTTTTGTGGCACCTTCTTGTTGCTTTATATTTATTTTTCATCTTTCAGCTTCGTGAAAAAGTTACCACTGGCGTTACTACTGATGGAAGTACTGCCTTGGCAAGTGTAATTGCTGCTTGCAGAAGGCTTTTCTCTCAACCTCCCAAAGGTGATTATAACTTTGATCAGTGAAGCAAAACAGACTGCATTCCTTGCTGAGAACTGCGCTTGTGTACCATTTAGGTTTATTGTCTTTTGGGAAGTAAGTTCTTGTACTAACCAGCCATTAATCTTGAGATGGAATATTGATTTGTGGAATTTCTAGGAGCTACTAAAGAATGACTGCGGTTTGCTTAATGAAATTTTATGTTGAACTAAGCTTGTCTGTCTCTGGTTTGAAGAATAGCTTTACTAGGTTATTAAATGCATTCGATAGATTCTTGTCAACAGTAGTAGATTTATTTATGCGAACCTGGTAGAGCTCTTAATCAAAAAACACAAGACCAAGACCAGTTTTACAGTCTCTGTTGCTGGTTTCTCTGCTGTTGTGTACTTTGATCTTGTGACTACTGAAGTGTAATGGCAGAATTGTAAACTTAGAGAAAAAAAAAAAACAACAAAACACTTATGAGCTCTCTAATTCTTCTTTAATAGGATTTGAAAAGTATTTTCCCAATGGGAAGAAACCTAATGGAACTAAAGGTACAGCTGGAGAAACAAAAGGTACAAAAAATTGCTTGATTTCAGTTCTTCTTTGGGACTGTGTATTTATTAGATTAGATTTTAACGTAACATCGTGGGTTTGGGTTTTGGGGTTTTTTTTGTTTATTTTTCAGGGAGGATGTTTCTGTATCAGATTAGTTTAAAAATGTGAGCTGATATGTTTTTATTAAACATTATTTTGCTTTCATATCATGTGTATATATATTCTGGAATAATGCTTATTTTCTCTTAAGCTTCTGTTAGAATTGAAGGACAGCATTCCTGTTTTACTGTTGCCTATTTGTTGAAGTTAATCATGCATTTAGAGATTCTGTGTGTGTATAGTTCTCAGCTTTTCCAAGAGCTGGTTAAAATACCCATTTGCTGGGTGGAATAACCAGAATTGTCATTCTGGCTGAGGATCCAGAACCAGCTTTTCAGCCAGCACCAAGCCTGCAGCTTGAAAAAAAAAAAAAAGTTAGTAGTGGCAGTGCTAGAAAGAGCCCTGTCTTTACAAGGAGAGGAGGTGAATCTGGATATTATTAGCAATAACAGGCACTCTGTTGCATCAGAAATCTATATGACACATCTTTGAAGGAGAGGCAGCAACCCTGTGAGTCTCTTATGAGAGCAGTAACAGGAGCAGCAGTGTGCCTTCCACTGGGCCTTGGATGGTAAAATCTAGTGTCATGCCTAGACACCCAAACGACCAAGCTCTTGAAAGAGGTAGGGTTGGACGGAGCATGTGTTGGTGGTGCGCTCCATCTTGCCCTCTTGAGTATGTTGACACGTGATGCTGTGCTACACCATGCAGACACCTTGTGTGTTGGATGAGTGGAAGAATATTAAAATTAATTCTTTGGCTGCAGTTGGCTGTTACTGTGCTGTGCTTGTCTCTAGAATATTAAAAAGGATGCCAACCTGTGGTATCAAAACACCTTGAGATTCAAGAGCACCACAGTATGACTGGAAGGGTGAATTATGGGAGATGATGTTACTTAGACCCTGTGATGTTTCATTGGGTTTCTTTAAAAAAAAAAAAAACAACCAAACAAAAAAAACCCCACACCCAACCAAACCCCACCCACATCCCCACCACCACCCAACCAAAAAAACCACCCTCCACCCCCTCTTTCAACCCTCAACAAAACCCTTAATTTTCTCGCACGTTTTGAATTAGTGCGGTAGAAATAAGCTTGGTGCAGTCTCTGTAACAGGCTTCTTTTTATATCTGGGACATTTTTCAGCTCTTGGTGCCCATACTGTTTATACAACTAACAGACCTCTCTTCTGATCAGAACAATGAGATAGATGTCTTTCTGCCAGTTAATGACCTACATGCTTTTTTTTCTATGGAAAATGCAGTTTCTCCCTTCCTCTTATTATTGTAGCATTGCAAACTAGTTCAATTTTCAGAACAACTCTTTAAAATCAAAATTAACAATAACTAGAGGGACATTGGTATCAGACATAAAGATGTATTTTTTGTTATGTTTCCTTTTTGTTAGAAACAAAGCAAGCTAGTGCCCGACAGCCTGGTGGGACTAGTAGTGGAGGAGGTGGCAGTGGTGGGAAAAAAGGTGGCAAGAAAGAAGAAACTAATTGGTGGACCAGATTACAGAAGGTCTTGACTTTACAATATCTTTCTGTATGGTACTGTCTTGTCCTCATGAAATAACCTTACATGTTTTCTGCTGTATAGGGCCATATTCTGATTGCCTAAATCTTCCTTAAGCCTCCCCTGCCTAGTAGATCATAGTAACTGGTTCTAAGCGGCTCCCCACTCAGTGTCTTTCCTAAATAAGTTTTGTATATACCTTCAGAGGTATCTAACTCTGGTTCAGGAATGTTAACAGACTTCTGAGCTATATGGTTGCTAGTAGTCAGTGTTCTAATAGTGGAGCCTGAGGCCTTTAAAAGCTTTCTATTTTGTTTCAGAATGTCGATTTGTAAAAGTTGCTGACCACACAATGCTAGTTACATGTAGTTTGCTGTCAGCCCTTCGTTCCTTGGATTTTACTATTACTTTTCTTTTTTTCCCCTTTATTTTTATAGGTCTTGCAAATAGTCCTGGAGGGCAGGGGAAATTGTTTTAGAATGGAGAGAGGTCATGTAACAGATGGCAAAACTTTTTTATTTAAAAGTAATTCATGGAATAAAACATAATTACAATTGGTAAAACACTTAAGATTTTCTACTAATGTTGTGACTCCTCAGTGATATCTGAAGTTACTGAAGCATGCTCATGCAACAAAATACAGCTTTGTTGGACATTCTCTGTGGTAACGTTGAAAGCAGGGAATAGAAGCCAGAAATGGGTACTAGAAGCTGTTTGTTATGTCCTTATTTTATTACAGACTCTCAAACATTCTTTTCCCCTCAATTTCCTAGGGTGACATTCCATGGGATGTCAGGGAGTTCCGGATGTACGTAGTGGGAAGTTCTTTTTTCTGGACGATGGTTGTCTATTACTTCTTCTTCAGGGTCCCTGGGAGAGAAATCACCTGGAAAGACTTTGTCAATAACTACCTTTCTAAGGGAGTGGTGAGTAGTGAGGGGACTCAAACTGGAAAATCAGTGTGCTCAAGATGCTTATTTCTGCCTCCCCGCTTATGCTTGTGTTCATGTTTCTGTGGAGTGAGAACTGGCTCAGGAGTAAGTTTTGAGGGAGAAGAGGATCAGCTTTTGTCCTAATCATCTTTAGTAGTTACATCTAATGTTCTGGGTGGCTGTATGAAGATTTGTGTCATTTCAAGAGGAGAGGGAATGAGCAGCTCAGGACAGAGCTACTTTGTTGGATGGCTCGTGCTGATGCTAGTTTGAAGAGGCAGTGTAACCACAGTCTCTCAGCGTATGGTTTTGCAGTACAGGTAAGATGATCTAATGGCTTAAGCAGACATGCAAGCTGCGCTCAGGTGAAACTCCTAGCCTTAAATGCTTCCATGAGCCCACCTCCCTGGAAAGAAAATGTTCTGCTTGTTTCATGCCTTAAATCCGTGACTCAAGGAATCTGAGGAGCAGCAATGTGAACAGCACGGTGGGGGTGGAGAATTGAAGAATCCCTTCCAAGAACACTAAATTGGCATAACTGTGTTGTAAAATAGCCTTCTTTATTTGTTTTCTCTTCTTTTACTCTTTCTTACTTGGAGCTACTACTGGAGCAACCAATTTTATCTGTGTCCTGTCCCTCTGTAGAACTTGGCAGCTTTCTGCACTTGGAGTAATAGGTTGGTGATGCCTTGAAGTTCAGGAGATCAAGTGTCTTACACAGGCCTTTTCCACTTCAGGAACCGCTAGTTCTTGGCTCTGTTATCTCCCTGCTTGTAGCTTCACCCGCAGGTTAGGAAAACATTGGCTTGCTTCCGCCTCTAGGTTGCAAACCTGGGATTTTGTGTTAACAGCATGCCTTTTTTTACTTTGGTAAACTGCTAGACAGGTTGTTTCCTACCTTTCTCTGTCTTACTGGTCTATGCAGAGCTGCTCTGTACGCTTTCCCCCTTCTGCCTAGATTGTGTCTTACTTTGTGTTCTTAATTGGTCATAATTTATGTGTGCATCTTGTGGGAGGAGAAAAACCCTTACTGACTGTATTTGTTGTGAAGCAGTAGGACACTAGCTTAGTAAAAAGATTAATTTAGCTGTTACAGTGACTGATGCCTGAACCCTTATTGCAGAAAAGCATTAGGAAAGTGGGTTGTTGCACAAAACCAAGTCTCTTGGGCCATTCTGAGATGTAGTCTGGATGTTCAGATAAGCTAAATAATATGTAGCCAATGAAATGCTGTTGGTTGCTATAGTGGCCAGTTAATGGGGAACAAACATCAGCATTTCTGGGATTATACGCTTTTCAACACAAAGATGTTCAGGTAGTTTTGCATGAAGTCAGGCTTGATCTACAGTGGCTTCTTACTCGTGTTTTGCTTCGGTTCTGCCGGAAGTGGCCACATTTCTGAGTTCAGGGAACCCTTACTAGTTTGTGTAGGGTTCAAGCCCAATTTGTAGAACTGTTGCTAGTTTTAAATTCTTTTAAGTTGCTGAAACCAGGTATTTTATGGAAAGAGGAAATAAAAATGGAAAGAAACTTTAGTTGCCTTCTGAAGAGACCTTGTCAAATTCAAGAAACTAAACATTTGAGAATTCTTCCATATGAAAAAAATATCCCACAACTTAATAGTATGTATCTGTGAACTGCAGCTCAGTTTCTGATTTTAGTTTATATGGTATCTATTACCTTAACCACAAATTTATCCAATTGATTTTTTGTGTGTGTGTGTTTAATGTGGCAGTACAGAAAATCTTTTATATTGGGGAAAACACATCAGCAAAGATAAGTTTTTTGCTCATTCTGTTGAGTTTGGTCTGTTTTGTTTTGGAGACTGCTACAGGAGTTTGAAGTTGTGTGGTCTATTGGTTTTGGTGTTTGACCATTGGAATAGTTAAATACTTACTATTCCACTGCATCTATAATATGAGCTGAGGTGTGCATTAGGTTTTTTAATTGAAATGGGGTATGAGGTCGTCCTGTCAATCTAAATTCTAATGTGCCATTATTCCTTGCTTACTGATAACATGCGTGATTCCGCATGCCATTCCTAATGGCAAACTGTAGATTGTGGAACCATCCTGATCTACGTGAATTTTATTCTCCTTACTGGAAAAGAGAACGGGTTCATGTTTGTGGTATGTTGCTGTTAGCTGTGATGGAAATGCAATGACTGTACACTCTAATGCATCATGAGTTTTGTTCTTTCCTCCTACAGGTGGACAGGCTTGAGGTGGTGAACAAGCGCTTTGTTAGAGTGATCTTTGTTTCAGGAAAGTCCCCTCATGAATGGGTAAACGTTTTTAATACATGTACATGAGAAATTAGAAACAGCAGAGCAAGCTTTTTCAGTAGTTTGATGCAGCAGACTTGGTCTGGAGCATTAATAATCTTTTAATCTAAAACCTGTTTTCTGCCTTACTGTTATGTTATCCTACACTGTGTGTTTTTCACTTAACTGTACTGATGTTTTGCCACAGGAATCTTAAAATGATGGCAAGTAGTTCCTTTCTAGCACCATGCTCTTAATGTAAATACACTAACAGGAAGAGTGAGAAATTGCTGCAGGTTCTGTATTTTTAACCGCTGTTTGCTATCTGCTCAAGAAAAGTCCAGACTTTACATACTTCTGGATCTCTTCTGTTCCAGCCAGTCATTAGAAAAAGAGAAGTTTATCTCTGTCTCCATTTGATACTGTAGACTTTTAAAACTGAGAGCTCTCATTCTTGAGAAGAGTACTTACTTCAGGGAGTTACTTTTCTAGTAGCACCGTAAGGAACAAACTGATGCAGGTGAAAGTACTCAGTGGCAGGGACCTATTTAAAAATAATAATTAAAAAAAATCATATACAATGTGGAAAACTTAAGCAGCATTACAGAAGTTTTATCAAGTTACCTCTTCCTAGGTGGTGGAGGTGGGTTTTTTTTAACTTTCACAAACAAGGTCTGCAAGTCCCTCTGGGGTAAAGTGAAATCTGCAGCAATTACTTCATGAGTGGGTTTCAGTGTGACTTATTTATACACCTCCTCTTTAGCCCACATACCACCAGTTGCCTTAGTTTCTTAATCAGTTAATACTCAGGACTACTCTTTTTTTTAGCATTAGAGTAAGTCAGGGCAAGTCAGGCAGGTCATGGTGCAAAAGGGGAGACTTTATTGAGAAAAAAAAACCCCAAACAAACAAATCTCAACACTGTTTGAAAGTAATGTCTGGGTTTTTTTTATGGTGTGTGATAGAAGTTCATGCTGTCTTTTTTGCAGACAGCTAATTTTCAAGCGTATATGGACTCTGAAAGTAGCAAATTGCCTTTCTTACTCAGAAGGGCTAAGACCTTCAGGTGAAACTATAAGTTGTATGGCTACTTTGTGTGCTGGTTCTGTATTATCCTGACTGCATTACCTCCCTTCTAAAGATCTGTTTACCTGTTCTTCTGTTTGATCCTGAAGAACATGCCAGGGTTTCAGTCTATTGAAAGTGCCCCAAAACTACTGGGTGTATGATTTCTGTGGAAGCAATGACAGGTACATGTATTCAGGTTGGTAGGCCTTAGATTTATTAGGTGCAGCTTACATCAGTTGCACACTTTACAAGGCGACTTAAACTCGGTCTGAAGCTGTTCTTATGTATGTCTTAGAAGTTGGCTTGTGATGAAGCCAGAGTAAGATAGGGCACTTTGTGGTGATCTCTGCTCTCTTTTATAGCAGTACGTCTGGTTTAATATTGGTAGTGTGGACACTTTTGAACGGAATCTTGAAACTGTGCAGCAAGATCTGGGAATAGAGGTGGAGAACAGATTGCCTGTAGTCTACTCAACAGAGAGTGATGGGTAAGGCTTTGCTTTTAAAAGTTTCTTGATTAAAAATGGCTGTGTTTATGGTAGCAAAGTAGATTTGTAAGACCTGCACCTTATGCTTCACTAGGTGTCAGTATTATCTAAATAACGATCATCTTGGGTTTATTTTTGAATGTTAACTGTAAGAGGAGCTGTTCAATATTTTGTCTGTGTAGGAATCCATATCCTCTTACTCTAAACATAGCTTCTTCTTCCATAAACGTTTCTGTTTACAATCAGTGCTTCCTTCATTTAAGCCCTTCTTCCAAAGTGACTTGTACTAAAGCAGGTGTCAGCCGGGCACAGCAGTAGAGCTCCAGAGATGGCACTCCTGCAGGTCTTTGAATGTACAAAATACGGCACAGAAGTAGAGCGTCTTGACTGAGATGTGACGGGCACTGCTTTCTGCCCATAAATTCAGCAGATGTCAAATTCTGTGGCCTTTGAAAAAGACAAGAGTTGGTGATTAAGTAAATCACACTATCCTGCCTCTTAGCGTGAGCTGGAACATACATCATGCTTTTAATCTCTAAATTTGTTAAGAAAAATAGTACTGACATCAGATTTATGGCATTGTTGCTTTCCCAGTAAGGAATAATGGTTTCAGTACTAGACCTGTATTATTTTTATGTAGCTGAGTTTTATTGGCCTTGACTTTAGAAGATTCTAGAAGTTTTCTCTGTGTATTTTTGAATGGCTTAGAAGACAGATGTAGTCTTGTACCCCAAAACCTGATTTTCTTTTTGATCACAGTCAGCAGTTTGAAAATTACCCCTGATGGTGTCTGTGAAATGGGATTTGTGCCATCAGGAAATTCAACTTTGGGTGTAGTAGCTCATATCACTAACAATAAAGGCTCATTTGCTGCCTCTCTTGGTGTTTTCATTCTTGATTCTGTGGTGTGTGTTTCAGTTTTTGGGGATGGAGAGAAGTCTAGTTTCTCTCTGAAACGTTTTTTACCAATCTGCTGCTGCCTGTTTATCTTGATGGTAACAGGAAAAATAATAGCCTTAACTGTGGACCATCCTGTGACTTCAGATAGAGTTGTTCTGTTCCCTGTTTTTCTATAAACTCTCTTCCTCATTTCCGTGTTTCTGTCTAATGGGGAATGCTGTTCAGGGCAGTCCATAAATAAACCTGTTAAGCCCTTATTTAAACAAATATATTAAAAAAAACCAAACAAACAAAACAACAGTAGACTGGTCAATGTTGTGCTTGTGCAAAGAGGCTGCATGTCAGCCTGAGGATTCTGACAGCAGAATGGGAGAAGTATGTTAGTTCCCATGTCATCTTCAGCCACACACAAATCTCTTTCTTGCTGAACCACTCT